AGCCTCCTAAGTAGCTGGGACCATAGGTGTGCACCACCATGCCCAGCTAATTTTTGTATTTTTTTGTAGAGTCAGGGTTTCAACATGTTGCCCAGGCTGGTCTTGAACTCCTGGGCTCAAGCGATCCTCCCGTCTTGGCCTCCCAAAATGCTGGGATTACAAGTGTGAGTCATTGTGCCTGGCCTGTGCATACTACTTCTTGTAATGGGGTTTCTCTTCCTTACTTTTGATGCCCCTACTCTCATACTTAGTTAACCATTTTGAATTCCACTTAATAAGAAAAGTTTCCATTTTCTTCTTCTTTGGGGGACTTAGATATAATCTGCACCTAGATGGTATGAAGATTTTCCATATTTTAAGGTAGAAACTTTCTGTGTGCCTGAATCTTGCTGTCAAGAATGTCTTGGCTAATCATGAAGGAAGAATATAAGAATGTGAGTAAAAACAATTCAACAGTCCCTGAGAACAACGTGAATAAATATTCAAAATTGCATAACCATTTTAGTGACTAAAGCACTGAGACTCATCCAATAATATTGTGGTTTGATAATTACACAGTTGTGAATTTATGATACTGTGAAACTGGAGAGACATCTTGGTGCATACAGGTCAACCCTTTCATACATCATACGCAAAAAGTGCACACCTACTTAGGAGTTGAAGTGTAATACCTCCTAGCATAAAATGCTTAAAAGAATTAAAAGAAGATTTTAAGGTAGTGATACAGTGGGCATTCCTATATGAATTTTCCTGCTTATCTCATGCATAGCAGAAGATGTGAAATTTCTAGGTAAGTTTTTTTTGACAGGGTCTTGCTCTGTCCCCCAAGCTGAAATGCAGTAGTGGTAACATGGTTCACTGTAGCCTCAACCTCCTGGGATCAGTCAGCCTCCCGAGTAGCTGGGACTAGAGACATGCATCACCATGCCCAGTTAGTTTTTTGATTTTTTGTAGAGACAGGGTCTCACTTCGTTGCCCAGGCTGGCCTTAAACTCCTGGGCTCGAGCAATCCTTCTGCCTCGGACTTCCAAAGTGTTGGGATTACAGGCATGAGCCACTGTGTCCTTCCTTAACATCAATCAAATTGAGATAATCACTTTCATAAAAGGGCAAAACTGGGTCAAGAAGCCCATTGTATTAATCTGTCTTCACAGCGCTGTAAAGAACTGCCCAAGACTGGGCAATTTATAAAGGAAACAGGTTAACTGACTCACAGTTTAGCATGACTGGGAAGGCCTCAGGAAACTTACAACCATGGCAGAAGGCAAAGGGGAGGCAAGGTACCTTCTTCACAAGGCGGCATGAAGGAAAATGAATGCAGGAGGAACTACCAAATACATAAAACCATCAGATCTCATGAACTCACTCATTATCAGGAGAACAGCATGGAAGAAACCGCCCCCATGATTCAATTACCTCCACCTGGTCTCTCCCTTGACACATGGAGATTATAATTCAAAATAAGATATTGGGTGGGGACACAGGCAAACTATATCGCCCATGTTACAATGACTTATATTACTGATTCCCTTAATTAGAGCAGAGGTAATTAATTGGGTGTAGGATCAGTGGAAGGGTCTGGCTGGTTCTTAATTCTCAGAGCTAGTTTGAATCCTGAGGTTAACTTCTTGCCTTCTAGAACTTGTCCTGTGTTTGGCTGAACTTTGTGAACCTTTCAGAAAGTAGGTCTTTATTGAGCACATACTCTATGCAAGGCAAAGAACCAACTACTGTGGAGTTTACAAACATCAATAAGGGGTAAGAAATGACTCTTGTCACATGGTTTACAGTCCAGCTGTGTAGGCCACCACAGTTCATATCTTTCAGGCTAGGGCCTGGATGAGATGAAAGTGGACTCAAAATTAATCCCATGCTCTCTACTTTCCCATATCCCTGTGCTTTATCTCTGTTTTAGTTATGTTATTTGTATGCTGGCCTCCCTCAATGCTCTGTGATCTCCAAAGAACAGGGGCTGGGTTTTATTTATTTCTGCATTGCAGCAGAGCCTAGTATGTGCTTTGTAGAGAACAGGCTCTGAAAAATATTTTAAATTAAAAGAATGTATTCACTTGTTTATGTTTCCCAGTTACAGTGGGTCAGCTTGTTCTGTACTAACATGGAAGTGACAGGAAGCTGGTGTCCCTCTATGCAGAGGTCCCCATGCTAAATATCATCTTGGATGTGCTTCACACTGTTGCACAAAGGGGCAGTGGAGTGAGACTGAGTAAGAGGACAGAAATAGTGGGGGGTTTGTCTCAGCTCACTAATTACTTATTTAACCTTGGGCAAGATACTTAAAGCTCAATCTCAGTTTCTTCATCTGCGAAATGGGGATAATAATGACTGGGGTGCCTATTTCCCACGATTGTTTTGAGGATCAAATGAGATAATATACTTAAAAGTGTTTCTGGAACGTCTAAATCACTGCACAACTGCAAGGCATTATTAAAAGAAATCTTCCTTTTAATTCCTGCTTCCACAAACATCTCATCACATATCCTTGGGTTCCTGGGTTACATGGAGAGATTCGTGGTGTAGCTCAATCTGTGCGTCATAGCTACCCCAGAATCTCTTCTTCAACTTCTCCAACACAGTAAGACATTCTTCCAGTCTTGCATTGCTCCCCAGTTTATATAGATATATATGTTCCTCATTCAGCATTTATGTAAAACGTATATTATTGAGCACTTATGTGATAGAAACTGGGGCGAAACAGAAAATAAGACAGAGTCCCTGCCTGTGCGAGTTTTTTACAGCTTATTGGCTCTGAGAGGACAGACATGAGAACAAATAAGTGCCCAATTCTGCATTTATTTTGGAAGGTAGTTTTATGTAAGTTTAAATTAGTAAAGATATAGATGTACATTTTTAGTTTTGATTAAAACTAAAACAATTGGTAGCCCTTATTCATATTTTTCTATTATTAAAACTTACCTTTAAAACATGTCTTCAGTCATATTTTTCCCTTACTTCCATTCATACTATTTACTCTTTACTTCTCTTGTCCTTACCAGAATGTATGCAGTAAGTTTCATATTGTAACACATTTAACAAAAGTTATATGTGAACATAATAGCTGCTTTCTTTAAAACGGTTACTTTGAGAAACTGCATACCTATTTTTTTTTCTTTTTTTTGAGACAGAGTTTCGCTCTTGTTGCCCAGGCTGGAGTACAGTGGCACGTTCTTGGCTCACTGCAACCTCTGCCTCCTGGGTTCAAGCAATTCTCCTGCCTCAGTCTCCCGAGTAGCTGGGATTACAGGTGCCCACCACCATGCCTGGCTCATTTTTGTGTATTTTTAGTAGAGATGGGGTTTCACCATGTTGGCCACGCTGGTCTCGAACTCCTGACCTCAGGTATCTGCCTGCCAAAGTGCTGGGATTACGACATGAGCCACCACACCTGGCCTGCACATTTATTTTAATAATGTTGTCATAGCTACAGTCACTTCTAGAGTTGCTCTTTGGGGATAACTATCTTATATTCTTCTGAATATATTTTAATAGTGACAAAACTTATCTTTGCAAGTGATTTTTAAAATTTGTATGCAGCCAAGTCACTATGAATTATCTTTAGTGAGTAAAGAGGAAGATCAAACTGGTAACACTGTGGGTAAACAACTGAAAAATAGTGTTATCTTTCTCTGAACATATTTGCACAACAGAAATTCCAAAAATGTTTTGACTACGCTATTTTTGAAAAGAGTTTCTAGTATTCCAATGTGACCACTTTCACTAACAGTACTTGCTTACCGTAAGTGCCTGCTAACATACAGTTTTGGAACTTCATAGGTCTATGCCCATACTGATTTGCACTTGCTTAGTGTTGTTTTACATTCTAGTTCAACATCTATTATGTGATAGACACTGGGGATGAATAGGCTGTGGTCCTTGCCCATGAGGACCTCAAAATGTAGTTGAGAACACAGAAATACAAAGAGTCCTGTGTGAAAAATAAATATCGGTGTAAGATAAAGAAGTGGCAGTGGAAGACAGTGGAGGGACTGTCTGTTAGGGGTAGGAATTTATTGCGGTGTCGGCAAAGCCTTCTTTGGACTGAAGGATGAATTATGATTAGAAGTTCATTATGAGGAGGAGGGAAGGGGACTACAGGAGTCATTCCAAGCCAAAAGAACAGAAGGTACTGGGACAGCAACAGCAAGATATGTTTGGGGGAATCTCAAGTTAGTCAATACTGTTATTGTGTGAAGTTCACAACAGGGGCAGGGAGGACAGGAGATGGGGCCCAATGACGAAAAGGCCTTGTATGTACCATTTTTAGAAGTTTGAATTTTACCCTATAGGAGTCAGGGTAGGATTTCCCATCCCAACAGGATTGTAAACTCCCACATCCAATTAGTCACATCCCCATTTTTTTTTTTCTTTTTCTTTAACATTGTCTGAGATCCATTCCTTCTGAAATCTACCTCATTAGTTCAGGTCTTCTTAAATTTGTGCCTGGACTGTTTCACTAACTCTTGACTGGTCCTGGGGCTCCAGTTCACCTCTTGCTCCCAACAATCAATTTTGTACAGGATTATCAGACCAATCTTCCTTTCCATCAGTCTCAACTCTGTTTAAAAACTTTCAATAGTTTTCTGTGACCTAAGAGGTAGCTGCCTCCCCACCCTTTCAGCTTGCCATTCAAAGCTGCATAATTTGGTTCCAATCCCCTTTCCCTCCTTGACTCCTCTCACTGCTAACAGAGCCAGAACTCGTTTACTTACTCTTTTGACTGTACCTTTGCTTTCATGAGGGCTCTTTCCTGGAATGATATGTCCATACAACTATTGCTGCTGTTCTTACTTTTAGCTCTTTTCTTAGTAGCCCATTTGTACCCAGGCTTGATCACACCCCCTACTCTCCTGCCCTGCAAGTAACTACTATTCTGGTTATAGTCTCTTAATATCTATATCTATATACATGCATCCACAGATAATGTGTAGTATTGTTTTGAAAACAATATGCATAAATGGTATACTTTGTCTCCCTCTGCGATTAGTTTTGTCACTATCATCTAGTTTTTAAGCTTTATCCCTATTGACATAAATATAGTCTTTTCAGTTAGTGTGTTGCATTTCATTTTATAAATGTACCATACATCATTCATCCATTCCTCTGAGGGTGGATATTTATGTTGTTTTCAAGGTTTTGCTATTACAGTGTTACAATGAATATCCTTAGCTTAGCTGGTCTCCTTGTCTTATACAAATTTTACTGACCTTTCAAGATCCTGCTTTCATCCCAGCTCCTATGTGAAAGCCTTCCCCGAATCCCCCAGCCCACAGGGGCAAAGTCTTGGTCCTCAAAGTTGCTTGTGCATCTTTGGTATCATTCCACTGCCAAACACACAGCTACGCAAAGTAAGGCACTTAAGAAATACTTGCTACACGGATGAACAAATGAATGAATGAATGGGGCAGCACCACTCCGTGATGGCTCTATTCCTTTTTAATGGACTTTGGCGCCTTGGCCCCCTTTCCTTCTTTGACAGCACTGGTCCTACTCCAGCGCATTCCTCTAGCTAGCAAAGCAGTGTGTGGATGTGTGGGTGTAGGAGGCGATACAGACCTCACTGGATGAGGGCCGCCTCTCCCTGCAAGTTCACGATCCCGGCAAACTCCAGTGCTTGAAGTTCAGAGCCCTACCCCACCCCGCTCCGCCCCAATGCCCCTTCGGCACGGGCCCGGCCAGCGAGGCGCTGCAGCCCTGATCGAGTGAAGGCGCGGCAGCCCCCGGGGCGGCTGGAGAAAGATGCGGCCGGCACCGATGACTCGTAGTAGATCCCTCCGCGCGGAGCTCGGGCCGGCGCTTCTTCCTGCGGGAAACCCCTGGGTGCCCAAGGCGGCGGGGCCGAGGCCGCGGCGACAGTGGGGCGGGGCTTGCGGTGGGAGGAGGCGGCTGAGGCGGAAGGACACACGAGGCTGCTTCGCTGCACACCCGAGAAAGTTTCAGCCAAACTTCGGGCGGCGGCGGAGGAGAGGCGGACTCGGGGCGCGGGGAGTCGAGGCAATTGCGCCGGGACTTCGGAGCGCAGCGCCAGGGCCTGAGCCTTTGAAGCAGGAGGAGGGGAGGAGAGAGTGGGGCTCCTCTGTTGGGACCCCCTCCCCATGTGGATCTGCCCAGGCGGCGGCGGCGGAGGCGACCGAGAAGATGCCCGCCCTGCGCCCCGCTCTGCTGTGGGCGCTGCTGGCGCTCTGGTTGTGCCGCGCGGCCCCCGCGCGTGGTGAGTATCCGGCTGAGGGGCGCTGTCCGCGGCGCCCGGGGCCGCCACCTAGGGCGACCCTTCTCCCCCTCGGTCCTCCTCTGTGTGGGAAGGCCAGGCTCGGCCGTCGGCGCAGAGCGAGGCCACTCGCCGGGTTCCCGAAAGTTTGGACATCGCCGGGGGCCCCTCCCGTGGCGCCCCCGCCAACCCCCGGGGTTCCCCGCCGCCTCTGCTCCCCGCGGCCCGGGACCCCTCACACGCCTCCTCGGCCGGAGGGAGGCCGGCAGCAAGTCTCAGAAACTCCCTTTTCCTAGTGTCAGGGTGCGGGGAGGTGGGCAGTTTTGCCCTTCAGGTTCCGCGTTTCCTGGGGTCGAGCGAGAGCCGACGGCGGGCCTCGGAGGGGCTGAGCGAAGGAATGCCAGATTCTGGCGTGGAGAGCGGGGGCAGGGCCGCCAAGCCAAACGGCCTGCACCTTCGCAGCCAGCCTCGCCTTTGCCGGGGGGCGGCACACGGGCCGGGTGTGTGGGCTTGGTTTGGATGGGGACGGGGTTTTGCGGCGCGCCTGAGTTTTGACACTCCGATCCCACCGAAAGTCCGGAGGAGCCGGGTGTACTGCTCGTGTCTTTGAAAGGTGGAGGCAGGAGAAGTAGGGCAACTGGTGTGGCTGCATGCTGAGGCACATGATTTAAAAATCTCAACTGCTGTTATTCTTTCCGAGGCGCGGAGCTCTGCTGCTCTTTCAGGCTGTGTCCAGACGCAGGAATGTGGTGTGACGATCACCAATTCCTCCAACCTGGCAGCAGCATTTGCTGCTGCTTTGGCATGGCTGGGGGTGGGGCACGGGCGGGTGAGGAAAAGTGGATACGTTAATTCAAAGGGCTTCCTTAGAAAGCTTCTTTATGGTTGGATGTTTCTAACACGGTTGGACCAAGGAAAGGGAATCAAATCGTATCTTCCCCATCCCACCCACACTTTTAGATTCTACATTTCTTCAGACTCTATAGTGGAAGTAACTTGGGCTTTGGAGCCCTGCTTTGTAATCCTGGATTCAAATCCAGCTCTGCTGTATGAACTCACCAATAAAATAGGGATGAAATTATCCAGCTAATAGGATTAATTAAAATAATGTATATTAAACGGATGACACTCTAAAGGTGTTCATAAAGTCCTTTCAGGGCCAAGGCTGTGTTTTACTCTTTCTGAGATTGATGCTCCCAGTGGGATGGTGTTTTGTGCATTTTTGTTGAACGGTAAGGAGCCCCTTCTTTTTCTGAGCCTAATCTGAACAAAGATTTTTACCTTCACCAAAAAACTAGTACGTGAACTACATCTTTTTTCAGATAAAAGGTTAGGAAGATGATGAGCTTCAGAAAAATATGGTCTTTGTTCATTGTTAACAGGCAGTCGACATGTCAATCGCAGATGTTTAAAAAGAGAACAAGGTTATTTATCACCTGAAAACAGTAGTGGGTTGTTCAGCACCAACTAGATACTTCTTGGAAAGTTCAAATTTCGTACACGTCTAGGTCACTAAGAATTTCAGAAGTGGACCAGGAGGCTTTGTAATGATGAAGCAGAGCTGTTGTTTCTGAAACATTTAATAAAGAGCATATGATGGTGTTTTTGCTTTTCCTTTTTCTTTGAGTGAAAGCTTTAAGTGTAGCTTTAGGATAGAGATGAGTATAATCAATGAGACAGTCTGAGGGTCATAATCCTTGGTCTGCCATTAATTTGTTTTGATGAATAACTTAATCTTCACGATATGTAGTCTCCTCACCTATGAAGCAGGACTAAAGGAATAACCGGCTTTAGAGAGTTGTAGAGAATAATACATATGATTGTAAAGTGATTTGCAAAATTAAGTGTTAAATAATCTGACTGATGTCAGAAATAGGATTACTCTGACACATAGGGCTTTTTTCATTCTAGGATCTCGGTGCATAAAACTATACCCTCCACCTCTGCTGTGCTGAGGTGCTGTGATCATTAGCTAGCGTTTAGGTAGTCAAGTTGAGTGTTAGTCAAGTTGACTCAAAGGATAGGATTTGGATGTTTTGATTTTTAGACAGGTGTTCTTTAGATGCTAAACTAATGCGATAGAAGAGATTTGGAAGCCTGTTTCTTGGTACAAATCTTAAATCTTCTTAGAGTCTACAGTGAAGGCTTCTTGAATCCTCTTAATTTATTGTTGTGTTTTGCTAAGGTACCAATTACAGCACGCCCTTCTAAACTTTTGAGTGTTCCTGTGTTTGGCTTGTGGCCAATTGTTAATTTAAACATCACGGAGTTTCTAAGGCAAGGAGATGTCAGCCCGTATGTCTGACTGTCTAAACAGCTATCCAGGACCACCCTCTTGCTCCTTGTTTTCTTTTGCTTTGCAATGGGAAGTGACTCCGTGATTTTGCTGCCTGCTAGATCATTTCTCAGCTGAATTCTTCTCTTGCTTAAACAAAATCGGAGTAATTTTCTTTCAGATGGAGATGAATTTTAACCTAAAACTTTTTCCTTTCACTTTCTTGTTCTTTCTACATTATTATTATTCCTTTTTTTGGTTTGGTGGTGGGGGAGGAGAGTGATTATTCCTAGTCTCTCTTATTTTTCTGAATGTTTAGATTTAAAAGATATTTACCCATAACTTCTTGGGATCTCTCTGCTCCATTCCCACCCTACTGCCTTTCCTGTAGGCTTCTATGGCATAGAGGAGCAACTTTTGGTTCACCGGTATTGTAGTTGCTGACTTCAGGATCTTTAAAGAATGTTTAAATTCAGTGGGATATGCTTGGATGCTTCAGAGCAGCCTTACAATACATTTTAAAAATATCACACCCACAGAAATTCTATTTTACCCACAACATTTGCATTGATCTGGTTCCCACTCTGTGATGCCATTCCTAGTGATCCTCCTCCCTACCTCTTCCATTGTGGTAGAAAAAAGCTCTGTGTCCTGGCTACATCAAAATCTGTTGGGATGAATCTTGGACTCAGCACCCAGGGATTCTGATAAGGTAAGTGTGAGAATCCATATTTTTTCAAGGTTTACAGGTGATTTTGACAAGTAACTTGGTTGCAACCCACTGATTCAGTAGTTTTTTTTTTTTTTTTTTTTTTTTTTTTTTATTTTTAGGTGTGTGTATGAGGTCTTTCTAAATTTAAGAAATTTCCGTAATGAATGTGACCTTAGTCATTCCAGTGTTTAATGCTTCTGACTGAAGGAATTTTAAAATTGCTAACGTAAGAGCTATAGAATATAATGTCTTTCTTCTGTTTATCTGGGTGCAATGTGTCTGCATTGACTCTTTGGAAGGGCTTCATATATTTGCATATTATAAATTCTCCACCTCTCCTTTTCCCTTTTCTTCTGTTATTTCTTTTTTCTTGTGTCATTCATATATGTCATTTTTTGACTCTTTATCTGTATGTCTGCAATGATTTTAAAGTAAAAAACTGCAAGGCATGATTTGAATAAGCATATAATAAGAAATTTGACACCATTTTCTTTATATTGTGTTCACAGTCCATAGTTACATGCTTCCTTTCTTTTTTTTTTTTTTTTGAGACGTAGTCTCACTCTGTCGCCCAGGCTAGAGTGCAGTGTCCAGATCTCAGCTCACTGCAAGCTCCGCCTCCCAGGTTTACGCCATTCTCCTGCCTCAGCCTCCGGAGTAGCTGGGACTACAGGCGCCCGCCACCTCGCCCAGCTAGTTTTTTGTATTTTTAGTAGAGACGGGGTTTCACCGTGTTAGCCAGGATGGTCTCGATCTCCTGACCTCGTGATCCGCCCATCTCGGCCTCCTAAAGTGCTGGGATTACAGGCTTGAGCCACCGCGCCTGGCCACATGCTTCCTTTCTTGATGTCTCAGTCAGAATGCCTAAATCTGAACTATTAATTTTCCTTCTACCCTTTCCTGATTTTCCTGTTTTTGTTTTCCCCCCTTTCTCTGCTAATGACTTGAAACCAAAAGGTCTTCTTTTCTTTCTTTGTCAGTCTACCATATGCATAGTATTTTGGACAGATCACTGAACTAGGAGCCAGAAGACCAGAATTCTTTTCCAGGTCTGTTATTAATTGGTTTGGTGACCTTGTAGGAGAGCCACTGTTTTGGTACTTCATTTTCTAATGTACATTGTTCATGGTCACAGAGCCAATTAGAGTTGAGACTAGAATTCCTGTCTTCTGGTGTCCAGTGCCTCATTGTCCACACTGCTTCCATCTCATGTACAAATGAGCTTATGTACACAAAAACTCTTATAACATCCTCAAGTGCTTATTGTTAATGCGTACATGAGGAAGGAATCGTGTCTTTTCATTTATGTGTTTATTCTAATGCCCACACCCCTACACCTGTACCTGGCATGATGCCTTGGCATCTAATAGGCACACAGTAAATATTTGTTCAGTCGGACAATTCCTTTTAGCCATTTTCTTATTTTGGACAACTGTGGTACTCCTAGATATTTTAAAAATAGTATTTGCAAGAGTCATGCTTACCTTACATTTGGGGAAAAACCAAATTTTTCCCTTCCCCAGATGTTTCATTTAAACTTATAATTTTGAATTTCTTTGTGTGTGGGGTTTCTTTCTCTCTTTTTCTGATCACTTCTGCAATTTATAAAGGTCACTTTGACTTTGGAATCTCACTTCAAAGGCACTGCCATCCACCCCCTGCGTCTCACTCAAATTTGCTTCCACTGCTTCCTGTATTACTATATTACTAGGCCAGCAATTTCTATTATTTTGTCCAGAATAGCCACACCTTTTTGTAATTTCATCATTTTGGGTACTAGTCATTTTTGGAATACTATTTTTAAAATTAGAGTTAACTAGGTTTGTGTTTGTTTTGATAATTTTTTTTGAGATTATTTTCATTGAGTGGGATATTGCAAACTTGTACTGGACTGAGAATATGTACATTTAGTAAAGTGTATTTGCTTTTTTTTCCCCCACCAAGAGAGTCCCCTGAACACCCTACTGACAAAAACTAAAGGTGAAATATAATGAATAAATATTTGAGAGAATCACA